CAGGGATGACAAAAAAGTTCTAAAGAGCTTTGACTAAGTCACACCGTATAGAAAAATAAGCAAAATTTCCAAAGAAAAAGTTAAAAACAAATATGGCTTATAAGACAGCGTTGTTACAACTGTTCGACGACGTATGAGTGCATTACTCATAAGTCTTGGGCTTATCCCAACTCAGAACTATCTGGGATAAGAGAATAATTAAACAAATAAAAACAATAAATCTAGCAGTGTACATAAAGTAAACCAGCAGAAAAACAAATAAAATCCTTCAATAGGATCCTGTAGGATCTTACAAGATTCTACAAGATCTTACTACGGAATCCTATAAGAATCCTATAAAAGAATTTTTTGGCTTTAAGGTTTTTCTACAAAGCCCTACAAAATTCTACAAGATTTTCGTAGAATCTTACAGGATCCTAAAGTAGGATCTTGTAAGATCTAGTATATAGTATAGGTCAAACAGTCCTACCATAGGATTGTTTGACCTGGGTTATTTTATAATGAAATGAAATAAAATGAGATGTTTTTTATATCTAAATGCAAGAAGTACAACAACTCTCTTTCTTTCGATATGATGAGTCAAAAGATGGAATTATCCTTGCTATCTAGTAAATTGCTATCACGAAATCCATCATACACGATGAGAAAGACCGTCATTGACAGCATCAGAAAACTTATTCTGGTGTATTTTGGCAACTGTATAAGCGTTTGTAAAAAAGTTTAATTCATTGAAAATAATTTAAAAAGTTGACTATTTCAAATCTCATCAGTGTTCATATATCATATGTCATATATCCATCCGTCCACTTTTTACTTTTATAATAAAACGCTCAATACGATTTTTTGTAGAGAATTTCAAGACGCATCTTGTAGTATATGAATCAACTGAAACAGATGAAACACAGCTGAGAAAAATCTAAAACAAAACGAGGCCCATTTTCACTGGGCTACCCGATACATCTTAGTCTTTGCTCGTAATTAGTTGGTAATTTAATGACAGAAAAGTTGTTTGAATTATTTCTCAGATCGATCAGGTTTCCTGAAGAGCACTGATGTGATGATAGTAGTTAACTATAGGGTTGAATGTTCTTTTATATATCTTTTGAATAAACGATACGAGTCAAGAGCCCGTCTTGAGCTAATACATGAAACATGATTTTCAAATTTGTATTGGCTGTACCATCGTGAACTTTTATGAAATATTTGACATAATACAGGTAAGATTTAACTTTATTCAAAAGTACCATAAGAAAATGGTAAGAGCTGTGATACAGAAAGCGAACGCTTTTGAAATTTATCAGCGCAGTAGTTAATTATCTTTAAGTTTCATACAAGTGAATATTATCAATTGCTTAAAATAGTTTTCATTTCTTTTTCACTCAAAGTACATCTTAATCAAATCTAGATTTTTACCTAATATTACTTTCAATCTGAATTGATCAGCTTTCTACAGCCGTAAAACTTGTCCATGTTATTTCATATTAATTTGTTCATGAAACACCGACTGCAATATTATTACTTATTGGTAAATAATTGTTCGTTAATGAAATCCCAAAAGGCAAAAGTAATCAAATCGCACATAAAGGACTAAAAGTCCCATGTGCGAAGAGGCACATGAATACTATGGATGAACTTTTGAAATGATTTAACTTTTTCCAGTCACACTCATCCAGTTATTTAGAATATAGCCAAAATGCTGCATTAAAATATTGAAAACATGGATTCACGAGTATTTCAAACGTTTGACAATTTTTATTACATATTTGAAAAAGTCAAGTTGAACTCATTAAATCGGATACTATAGTTTTCATTAGGAAGAGAGGCAGTTCATTCACTAACCCTAGGAGTAAACGAACACCTTTGTTATAACGAAAATTTGGGTATTCTTCACTGAGTACACTGCTTATTGACCATTTCTGTACGATTGAAATCCAATCTATCGAAAATGTGTACCATTCATATAGAGAAGTTGAATTTCTAAATAAATTGAAGCCCTAATTGATCATTCATAGAAGAGTCCTTTGACCGTCCATGACGAAATCCAAAAGGAGATTGCATAGGAGTTCCAGGAGATTTTGCTTTGAAAATTGAGTAGCGGATGTTCGAACCTCATTCACGCTAAATTTTTTTACATAAAGTCCATGAATGCATTGCCATCATTGTGGTAGCCACCGAAGGATTCTCTGGGAAGTGTTGACTGGGAAAGCTCTCAACATAATATATAGGAGCACATTTTATCAAAAAGTGGAAGTTGTGGTAATAAAATATGTAGGCTTTCAGTCATTTGAAATCTGCGTGACTTACTCTAGGTCAAAGTGTGAATAGCATTTGAATTGTGGTATTCTTCTCTGTTCAGCACATGAGTCAAAACATTTTTTCTTCTGCCTCTTCTTTTTTTTTCACGATTAACCGTTAACTAGTATCCAAGGTAACTTAACAAATAAAAGGTATATACAACATAGTCAGAAATAATAATAAACAGAACGAACAGTAATAAAAATCTTGTATTTTTTTTCTAGTGAATGAAAAATGATTTATTTAACGTTCAACAGAAACAAAACTTTCACATGTTTTCACATAGATAGAAAGAACCAGTACTTTGTAAAAATCTTGTCTGTTTATACATAAGCTGACTGATACTTTTTCCTTTATGTGAGTGTGTGAAAATAATATATTGTGAGTTGTTATCATATCTCTCGGTTCAAGTAAGGAATCGAAGAGAGTAGCTATTTGGTAAGCAAAAAGCGAATTACTAAAGTTTAAGGTTGATATTCAAGTGGATAATGACAGCAGATATTATCATATTGAACGAAAACTAAAAGTGTCTTGTTCTTTTCGAATACTTTAGATAACTGATTCAAGCATAAAGAAATGTTGGCTGCATCACAAGACATTGACAATTTTATCGAGCGTCAACGACGTCAACTTAATGCTGATCGTACTGGCCGATCTCCAAATGTTAATAATAATGTAAATGTCAATGATCGACTAGACTTTAAAGTAGCAAGAATTCTGGATGAACCACCACCTCAACGGCGTGGACCTGGTCCACAAAGTGCTCCTATTTCCTACCAACAACCTCCACCTCAACCGCTATCTTTACCTCCACTCCCGCCCACTGAACAGTCTTTTGAACCATTTTCTCGACGTTCATCGGGTGATCAAAATGATATCACATTTTTTCAGAGATTTGGCACGTATGATGAACGCCGTTCACAATTAAAACAAGATTTAAAGCGTGAATATAATGATTTTCTACGTTCAAAAAAGAGTAAAAGTACGTCACAATTAAATCATGATACTCAAAATGAATACACAGCACCGCATGATAATCGAAGACGTGTTCAATTTAATCAACGAACAACTAGAAGAACAAATAACAACGGTAAGGAGGTTGTCGCTCCATGGGAAAAAGACGAACGATCAAAAACCATAAAAGCTGTTCAAAGTATGAACGATTTATCGGCATATGAATCAAATTCAAGTGGTAAACGTTCAAACTTACGCAATACAACGATGGACTATTCAGTATCAACTGATGAACAATATATTAGAGATAGAGAATCGTACGTTTTAGAATTACAATCGCAAATAAGAGAATTAGAAGCACGAAAACAGCAACTTGAATCAGGTAATGAACTTGTGTGAGAATTCAATTAAATTTACATAGTTCCTTTGTATATTTTAGGTATGCGGTCTGGTAGTGGCAGTTCTGGTCATGCCGAAGATCTCAGTGCACTGAACACATTACTCGCACAGCGTCTTAGTCAACGAAATGCCATTGATTCAGATCTTGCACGAATTCTCAACCGTCCAGCTATTTCAAGTAGTCCATCACTGGGTGAGATGCGAATTAGTCCTCGTGGCGGTGCTGGCCAACAGATACGTTCACAATACTCGAATAATAATCGAGATCAACAACAACAACAACAACAACAGTATACTCAGCGTCCTTACGAAAATAGGAGTAACAGAAATCAAATACAACACTACGACAACAATGACAACCAGAATGGTGGGTTTCAAATTGGTCGAGAAGCCGATAAAGATGCAGAGCAAGCGAATAAAAAACGTTATCAACAAGAATTGCAACAACAAATGCGTGAAGCCCAAATGAGAAAAATGAAGGAAAAAGCAGATAAAGATGAGTATGATCGTAAATTAGAAGCAGATATTCAAACGTATAATTATTTTGGTCGAGGTGGTGGCGGAGCACCAATGAGGGACAAAGATGGAAATGTTGTCGCCAATTTGGCTGATCTAAATACAAAGCCACCTCAAATGTCATCACGTCAACCACCATCTTCACAACAATATCAACATCCACAACCACCTTCACAACAATATCAACATCAACAAGATGATAAAATTTATCAAATTGGGACCAGTTCAATTCACGACGCGCCATATTACAATGGTGAACAAGTGGGACAGAATTCAGTACGCAAAAATTAGGCTCACATCCCGAATAGAATGTATTCGTCATTCCTTCGTTTTCTAGGTACGGCCAGAATCACCGAATTATGCACGAGGAGGCAATGGTATATTTGGTAATGCTAAAACTGATGCACAAAAAGTTCAAGAAGAAAAATATAAACAAGATTTAAAACGTCAAATTGAAGACAAACGTCAACGTGCAATTGATGAAAAAAATAAAGTGAAAGCTGAAGAAGAAAAAGAAATTGGACGTTTACAAGCTCAACAGCAGAAAATTCAAGAAGAATACGAAGCTGAGCTTGTAAAGAAAAAAGATAAAGAGGCTCAGGCGGCAAGAGCTCAAGAACAATTACATGATCAACTTGAACGACAGAAACAAGAAGATAATTTAATGAAACGAAGTGTGTATTTCAGTTATTCTGCTGATTGGTAACAAGAGTAAAACGTTGTTAATTTTTGAATGTTGTAGGGTCTGATTTAAAAAAACGACGTGATAATCCACAAAGCCAAGATAATAACGAAAATGAAAATAATGAACACAATGGTGGAATTGATCAAGATCATAATAATCAAGAATCAAATTTTGATAACAATCATCATCAGCAACGAACTTCATCACCACCTGTTCCAGCTTTGATGAAACAAGGTACAGGAGGAACAAAAAAAACATTAAAAAATGAACGTCGACCATCTATTGAACAACTTGATCTAAATAATAATGATATGAATGAGAATATGAACGGTGGTGATGGTAGTGTTGGAAACAGACAAACTTATAGAAAACCACCAACATCTAGACAACCAGGTACGTCACAAAAACGTGAACAAACATTGCATGACATACTAGAAAAAAGTTTTATTACAGACATAACACCAAAACGAAAACCACCGCGTGAGTATCTAAACCGATGAGAAGGGAAACATGGTGATGTACGTTATAACTTCCATGTTTCTCATCAAAAATCTTACTAACTTCTCTGTAAAGAGTATCAAGTGTATTAACTTTAACCCCACGCTACGCTTGTGTGATGCACTCACATACCAATTTACTTTTTTTACTCTGTGTACGGACATTCCCACCTGATAGAATTTAAACTATAACGTAGATAATGTGATCGTTATTGTTAATTAAATTCTCCAATTCTGTTTTCTTTTTTAGAGACAACAAGACAGCGGCAACGATCAAATTCAAATGGTGGTATAACTACTGGAATGCCCATGAGGACTAATTCGAATATAAGTCTTCGAAGTGATGGTTCATCGTCGGAAGTATTAAATCGACTGGAAAATATGAAACGACAATTGAAAGATAAAGAGGAACGGTTACGATTACATGTTGAACGAAATCATAATGAACAATCAACAACAAATAGCGGGCTACTGTCTGATATCGATGAATTAGATGCAAAATCACATAAGAAGACAACATATATTCCACCTGATACGCGGAAAAAGAGTCCATTTCTCACAGGACCAACTCGTGTTCGACGCGGTTCACCACAACTTGGTGATGGAAAATCAAATAAATTTTTTAACGTATTTCATGAAGACGAAGAGTTCAAACCACAGTATTTTCGTGATGATTCTATTTTGTTACCTGGTAGTAATTATCGAACGAACGATGAATACGCTTCTTCGTCAAAACGTGTTGATTTTGCCGACGGAATGTTTCCCACAAGTTTAGAAGACGCCATAGATAGACGGCAAGTTCGACGACGACAGGCTGATCCGCCGCGACATTATGATCGCGATGATCCATCAAGTATGGCAAGTTTAGAGCTTAATGTAAGTGTTGTAATGTGATTGGCCGCTTTAAACGACAGGTGGAAGAAAGATGATGTATGATTCTTTTTGTTTTACTTTGCAGCGTATAGCCGAACAGAATGAGCAACGCTTAAAGAAACTTCGTGACTTAGAGAGCGATGATACGTCAATGCTTGATTCAAATGAAGTACTTGAGCGTTTTATTCAAAAACAAAAACTACAACGGCGACCCAGTGAAGTAACATTACAGGATGATGCGTGGCTCAAATGATTATTTCGTATAAAGAGGACATTGTTATGTCCAAAAGTCAGCAGATACCCTCAAAGTCCATCGAAAACATACCCATGTCGCTAAAATCAAAAGCTTTTTTTGTGTCAATCTAGTGAATAACGCAAAAAAAAAACTGTAAAAACATAAGTGACGTAACGCAAAAAATGATTACAAAAGTGAAATGTTGCAGCATTTCACTTTTGTAATCATTTTTTGCGTTACGCCACTTATGTTTTTACAGTTTTTTTGCGTTATCACGCAAAAAGCTTTTGCAATTTCTATATGGGATAAGTAAGCGTAGTAAGCTTTGATATCGATTGTCATAACCGAATGAAAGGTTCTCTTCTATAAAGCAGTTGTGTCTAATATAATCGTTAGTCTTATTTTTTGGCTTCCTTTCGAGCCTGGAAAGGATTACTACAAAGGTTGTAGGATCCCGCTCTATTGTAAATTACTTGTTATCATGTCTGCACGCTCCAAGAGTCGTACACTCTCACCGAAGATTTTATAGGATTACGTTTTTTTCAAATTGAATATGTTTATTTTTTCATAGCGAGTATTGTATATTTAAAATTTTTTAGTGTGTTTCACGTTTTAAATTAAAAGCAACATCTAATATGTATGAGAAACATAATTTCTCATTTTCTTGTTATAAATTATATGGTTTAGGTAGACATGCGATATTCAAGAGATTAAAAAGGTATATCTCGGATAGATTGTTGACTATTTATGTGAGATGTGTTCATTTGATGCTAGCGTGCGATGGCTAAAATAAAATAGGTAAACATTCCCATTTTGAATGTGTAATTCGTCAAAAGTCTAATTCTCTGATAATATTTTGATACCATTTTTCATGCATTTTGCACTGAACTAGAAGGTTAACAATATCAGAAAACAGTTGTTACTAAACAATATAACGGGTGGCACAGGATAAAACGGACTATTTTGCTTCCTCTATAACTCTGTCAGTTTAGATCTGATCGGGCCAATTTTTTCCCATCAGAATCGTCATTCAATTCTCCACAAAACCATGTGTAAAAGATTTTTGTAAACTACAAAATGGCTAAGTTCTAAAACGAAGAAAAGAGATCCAAAAATCTTCAACTTTCAAGCACAAAACTTCGTTTTTTCTAAAATTTACTTTTCACGTGGAGAGCTACGAAAAAACTAAGTCGACCATGTTAAAGAGCATAAAATTTTGGCCAAGACTCATGTCTTTGAGGATTTTTTTGATCAAAAATGAGTAAAAAATTTAGCATAAAATTTTTTCGCTTTTTCGAAAAAACTATTTTCATTTCATGTTTTTGATGCTCGCGCGAAAACGCATGCCACTCAGTAAAAAAGCGTTACTTTTTGACGATTTTTTTTTCTTTGAAAGCTAGTACACTCGACTACATCCCTGTACACTCGTTCGAGTCATGCAAAGTTTTGTTTGCGGTAGGTTTTCGTGAAATCCGAAATTAAGGCGTTTTGGACGAGTTTTCGGAAAATATCGATTTAATAGGCGAAGGTCACTTTCAAACAAAATATTTTCAAGAATATGGGAAAGAGCATATTTGAAAATGCCCGTAAATGTTTCTCCGTTAATTTAAGCCTGCGTATAAATTGTCGAAACATACTCTAAATGTTAATGCATTTTGAGCTGGAAAGTTGAAGATTTTCGGACCTCTTTTCTTCGTTTTAGAACTTAGCCATTTTGTAGTTTACAAAAATCTTTTACACATGGTTTTGTAGAGAATTGAATGACGATTCTGATGGGAAAAAATTGGCCCGATCAGATTTAAACTGATGAAGTTATAGAGGACACAAAATAGTCCGTTTTATTCTGCGCCACCCGTTACTTTGAATATTCGAATGTAAGAATTTTGTGTAGTAACTAGTC